CACACACACACACACACACACACACACACACACACACACAATAACAGAGAGAGTCACAAGCTGAAACCTGCTGGAGCTGCCAGTGGTACAATAACAGATGGAGGACGTCCAATGAAAACACTGTGGCTTTTAAAGTGTCACAAACCTGCAGTTCTTCACAGCACAACTACTTTATTTGATCATACGTAACACTCAATATAAATATTTCATCTTGTTATATTCTGGTGTTTTCTTTTTAAAAAGAAAATCACTTCTTTTCCCCCTCTTCATAAACCTTCTTATATTCCCACAGCCCATCCCTTCAGGACCCTACGCCACCCCTCCAAACTACGGCGTCCCCTTCAGCCCCGCCCCCCCGAGCACGTTGCACATGGGCGGGGCCAACTACAGCCAGATGCCGCCCGGATCGTTCATTTCAGGTCAGTGTTGGAAGCTTCCCGTTTTGAGCAGAGGCCGTCTGCCAGACAGGAAAGTCGTGGGAGTTAACGAAGACGTTAATAATTTTAAAAAAATTATGACGGCCTCGATAATTATAGCAGAAAAGATAATTTACTGAAGGAAAAAGTTTTTACTTGTTTGATCTGTTGGCAAGTTAATGTTTTTTAGGCCAGATTTTTGGCTTTTGCAGAGGTGTTCCTGCAGTCTGAGTGTTGTTGCCTCGGGGAAAACGAACTGAATTAACCAACATGTTTGGGTAATTTAGGGCCCAATCTAAGCCCTGGTTTCATTTTTTTAATTGTTTTTTTTTTTTGGATGATAAAGGAAAACTAGAACATTCCTAAAGAAATTTTGAATTGAATCAAAAAAGGATGAGCATTATAAAAAAGTAAATTGGTTGGTAATTCTTTTTTCTTTAATGTTCGATCTGTCCCATCCTATTCTCCTGATCCCGTTTTGGTAGTGTCCGTCTCATTTTTCTCTCAAGCTGAAAAAACATAAACTCCCCGACCTCCTTTCTGACCGAGACTCAAAGTTATTTAACAAGTGACAAATTATCTACTGGAAGAAATAAATAAAAAGCTAGAAAATTTGAATGAAGTTCGGCGGCGATGGAGAGGCGGCGAGATGGGGAGAAAGTAACTCTAATACTTTATACTGCAGTATTGTCTAAATATAATATATTGATATGAAAAACACCAAATACCACCTACTTTAAAACATATAAGATGTGTAAAGTTTGTGGGAGTAAGAAGAGTCATGACATCATCACTCTTTTTTTGCAAATGTCCTCAATGTCGTACTGCTACTAAATACTGCTGCTAATGTACTGCTACCAAGTCAACGCACACTAATGCTCATCCAGCCAACCATTTAAATATTTTATTTGTATAAGTATGGTTTAGGTAGCGAAACAAAAATAATGTCAAAAACATAATTAAAAACAGAATAAGGCCGTTTGCTGACAAACTTACAAAATGTTCTTTAAACTCCATCACAGTTTATTAAATGTCATTTTTTTCCTTATAAAAATGTGGAGTTTTGCTCTAAAATGACAAACTTTAATGRGAACATAGTCTACTTCTTTCGTAGGATTTTTTTTTTTCTTTTTACCATCAGCACTAAAWTCTGATGTGTAGAAAGCAGAAGCGACCCGATTGTCTGGGTTTTCTTTGTGACTTTCAGAACCGCAGCGCAGCAATTTTCACACGAGTTACTCTAAAACAACCCCAAACAGAGAAGCTCAGATCCTTTGAGAGATCCGGGTTTGATTACTTGGTAATTTGAACAGTTTGTGGGCAAAAAAGAAAAAAAAACCTTGAAAATGCTGCTAGTATCATTAAAGAAATCATCTCAGGAATTCTCTTTGTACGGTTATGCTGTTGTGGAAAAATTCATTTTAGCAAAAAAAAAAAAGAAAAGAAAATGAGAAAAACATGTCCAGGCCTGTTTATCAGGGGGGATATATATCAAGGTTTCTATGCATTCTGCTTGATTTACCACTCATATTTTGAGGATTACGATCTTTAAATGTGAGTCGTAAAGAACAGCCTGGTGGCTTCTTAAGCAGCACTTTGTCACCTTGAGCTGCTTGAACTGTAAGAGCTTAAAAATCCAGAAAGACGTCCCTATCAGGACATTGGGGAGAGGGGGAGAAGGAAAAACCATCTGGAGCAGAGTTTCTGATGTGACTGCCAGACAAACACCTGAAATAGACATTACTCAACAAAAAAAACACAAAAGCGCTGCGGTGCTACGTGAAGGCGTTCCCATCAGTCTCCACACTCAGCAGTTACAGGATCTAATGACACATCAGGCAAGAAGCTCAATCTGGAGGTTTGTTTTAGAGGTTTCTTTTCCGTTTTTTGTCTGTGAAGTCTGATTTTAATACTCATCACTCACCGGCTTAAAAGCTTTTGATTAAAACAACACAAAAACCCAAAAACAAATCGTTTTTTTTTTTTTTTTAAGTTTTGGGATCCTATCCTGATATCCTTCGCCTGCATCCTGTCAGAGCTCGCTGTCGGTTTGAGAATTTATTTCCTCCTAATTAGTTTGATACCAGCATGTGCTCTCCAGACACACTCTCTGCCCTGCATGTGTGTTCGTGTTTGGAGATGTTTGGTTAAACAGAGATGTGAAGGAGATAACTGGTAAAACCTGATATTCCCCAGTAGCTTTGCCCCTTTAACACACACACACACACACACACACACACACACACACACACACACACACACACACACACACACACACACACACACAAAAAACA